CTCTCTCTCTCTCTCTCTCTCTCTCTGAGTGCTGAGTGTGTAACTCAGAAGTAAAGCAACTTCCTAGCAAATGCACAGTCCTGCCTTCAAACCACAGTAACACACACACACACACACACACACACACACAAATTTTTAAAAAGGAAAAAGTGCTTTCCATAGGGACAATAATCTCCTGAGGGCACCTCAGGAATTGGTGAGATCTTATCCATCATAGGCTCAGGGGTGGAAAAATGTAAACTTACTTTGAAAAGAGACTGTTAGGCACCCAAGGCAGGGCTCTGGGATTCTTTACTCATATTCACAGTTCTAGCACTGCTCAAAAATCCAAGTCCAAAGTCTCTTCTAAAACTGTACACACACTAGTTGTGAACACCTGTAAAAATGAATAATTTACTTACTTCCACGGTACAATGGCACAAGGTAAGGATTTTCATTTCAAATGGGATGAATAGAATATCAAGGTAGGACCAAAGATGGAAACCCTTCAGGTATGTTGAGACTCCAACACTATCCAGGCTTTACCTGGAAGTGTGGGTAGAACTCTTTATGACCCCACAACTTCACATGCTCTGAAAACTAGCACTATGTGGACTCTGCCAAAGTCTGCTACCAGTGGGAGCAGATGCTAGTTACTGATTTCAATTTTTCAGAGAGAAATAGGAAGCAGAATTTCACCTGAGAGGAAGTGATAGCAATTTGAGGAAGGATTTTTTGACAGATGAGCATGAATAGACAACAGCAATTGTAGTATCAGGTATTCACTGGTAAAATAGAAAAGATTTTGGCAAAACTTCAGTTTAACTCATCTCAGGGTTTGTTGTTAGGTTTTTTTTTTTTTTTGGTGCCATTATTGGGGCTTGAACTCAGGCACTGTCCCTTATCCCTTAGCTTTTCCTCTCAAGGCTGATGACCTGTCACTTGAGCCATAGCTCTATTTCTGGCTTTTTAATGATTAATTGGAGATAAGAATCTCACAGGCCTGAGGTGCGTGGCTCACGCCTGTAATCCTAGCTACTCAGGCTGAGATCTGAAGATCATGGTTCAGGGCCAGCCTAAGCAGGAAAGTCTGAGACTCTTATCTCCAGTTAACCATCAGAAAACCAAAAGTGGCATTCTGGCTCAAGTGGTAGAGCACTGACTTTGAGTGCTCATGGACAGCACCCAGGCCCAGAGTTCAAGTCCTGTGATTGACCAAAAACAAAAAAAGAATCTCACAGACTTTTCTACCTGGGCTGGCTTCAAACCGCAATCCTCAGATCTGGGCTACCTAGGTAGCTAGGATTGTAGGTGTGAGCACCGGCACCCAGCTAGAACTAATGTATTGATGATAAAACATAGAAACAACTTCATCTTATTTCAAACTGAAAAGATAAGGTTTAATAAAATGCTATGAAAAACACTTTCTGTAGATCAACCTCCAGATTGTTTTGCTTACCAGACTATGACCTTATGTCTTTATTTACTGATAGGAAGCACAGTGGAGAGAAGCCATATGTTTGTGACCGATGTGGACAGAGATTTGCCCAAGCCAGCACACTGACCTATCATGTCCGCAGACATACTGGAGAAAAACCTTATGTATGTGACACCTGTGGGAAGGCATTTGCTGTCTCTAGTTCTCTTATCACTCATTCTCGAAAACATACAGGTAAGAGTTTACCATGGAGAAGCCGATTGAAGTAAAGAAAGTTATAAATAAAAGCAGAACTGGATCTTTACAGAAGGTAGATTATTGACTTTTGAGGTTAAATATGTTTGTACTTTTTAAGGCTGTCCATGGTTTTCACATAAATATTAGATGCAAAAACGGACTTGTTTTCTAGAGTACAAGGTAGGTAAAAAAATTTCATTATATAACTTGTATACATTAAATTAGATAATTTTGCTACTGTGTACATTGCAGTTAAGACTTGATTTAGGATTTTAGGAAACCTTAGCCTCTTGAGAATTTATTTCCTTTGGGTACAATTGTAGAGTGAAATTTAAAGGTGGATGATGCATTCTGGTGAAAAATTGACTTTGTAATTTATTATGACCTTTCCTGCACAGACATTCCAAAGGCTTGCAACTTAGATGAGTCAGTGTAAATGATCAGGTTTGAAGCAAACCTGAGTCTTTTTTTTTGGTAGGGTAGACTTTTAAAATTATAATTTTCCTTAAATGTTCATTTTCTTCTTTAATAATGCAGCAGATAGCAAGATTTGAAATACAGGGTCTTGGGGTTAGGAGGGAAAATCTGGGAGAGAGTGAGGGAAGAAGTGTAACCATAATTCCTCTGTACACCACTTTTATATAATACATTTTTTTAAGATTTAAAATGTGGGTTAATGAATTATTATTATTTTTTTTGGGGGGTCCAGTCGTGGGGCCTGAACTCTGGGCCTGGGCGCTGTCCTCAGCTCTTCAGCTCAAGGCTAGCGCTCTACTACTTGAGCCATAGCACCACTTCCGGCTTTTTTCTTTTTACTTATGAGGTGCTAAGGAATTGAACCCAGGGCCTCATGCATGCAAGGCAAGCGCTCTACCACTGAGCCATCTTCCCAGCCCTTGGGTTAATGAATTTAATGTGCCCTTAGTCACATAAAAATTCATTGCCTAAGTCACCTCTACAAGAAGAGACTTTCAGGAATTTAGTTTTAGTCTATGAAAAGTTTCCGGTTATAAACAGTATACTCACTCATTTAAGATGGATCACTTGAGAATACCTCTAAAATACAGTAGAATTTTCAATTTAAGTATATTTTAAATAGCTTACTTTAGTTTATCTGTATATTATATTGGTATAGTACACCACTTGGATATCTTTTATTTTCCATCTAGGTGAAAAACCATACATATGTGGTATTTGTGGGAAAAGTTTTATTTCCTCAGGAGAGCTCAACAAACACTTTCGATCCCATACAGGTCTGTGTTTAGGGAGAACGTATTATTTTTTGTTCTCTCTTAATTTCCTTTTATATAAACCTTGGCTTTGAAACCATAATGGACTATATGGTATCTAGTCATAACTTATATGTACTAGTATTTTACTGTGTAATATCAACTTTTTATTTGATTATTTTGTTGTGTTTTTATTTTTTATTTCAAGTACAAGTTACATTTGGTCAAGAATTGTGTAGCTATTCTAAAAAACATAACCGTTTTTTAAACAATTTGGATCAAACTAGAGATATATCAAGAAATGAAAAGGAATAGTTGGGTATGATGGCTCTTACCTATAATGCCAGTTACTTGGGTGGTAGAGATCAGGATGATTGAGGTTTAAAGCCAGGTGGATCAAAAAGTTAGCAAGACGCCTTCTCAATCAACAAGTTGGATTTGGCAACTCATGCTTGTGGTCAAAGCTTCAAGGGAAGCCTCTGTAGAATGATTGCAGTTACAGGCCGGCCCCAGGTAAAAATGCAAGACCCAATCTGAAAAGTTAAAGCAGAAAAGCTGAGGACACGGCTCAAATTGTAGAGTACCTGTCTGACAAGCATGAAACCCTGAGTTCAAATCCTAGTGCTACAAAGGAAAAAGAATGGAATGGAAAGGAAAAGATAATATTAACTTACTTTTGCTTTCCTTCTTTCCTCCTTTCCTTCTTTCCTTCCTTCCTTCCTTCCTGTTCTTTTTTCCGGGGGGGGGGGTTGGTCATCAGTTGTGGGGCTTAAACTCAGGGCCTGAGTGCTTTCCTTGAGCTTTTTCACTCAAGGCTAGTGTTCTGCCACTTTGAGCCACAGCATCACTTCTGGTTTTCTGGCAGTTAATGGATAAGAGTCTCATGGACTTTCCTGCCCAGGCTGGCTTTGAACCATGATCCTCAGATCTCAGCCTCCTGAGTAGCTAGGATTATAGGTGTGAGCCACCAGTCCCTGGCCCAACATCAACTTATTAAACTTTTTCTTATTTTCATTTGGCAACTTCTGCATTCTCATGCTCCTTGGATCTTCAGCATTTTTTGTTTTGTTTTGTTTTGTTTTTCCCCAGTGCGAGGGGTCAAAACCAGAGCCTTATGTATTTTAGGCACATATTCTATTACTTAGCTATATCCCTAGCCAGAGTAGTTTTTAGTTAAAAATATATTGTAGCATGTCATTTTTAAAGGATTTCTAATTTGTAAGATACCTAAAAGTAGAAGCTAATTTTTTTTTTTAAGTCGGTCATGGGGCTTGAACTCTGGGTCTGGGAGCTGTCACTGAGCTCTTCAGCTCAAGGCAAGTGCTTTACCACTTGAGCCACAGTGCCACTTCTGGTTTTCTGGTGGTTAATTGTGGATAAGAGTCTCACAGACCTTCCTGCCTCGGCTGGTTTTGAACCTCAATCCTCAGATCTCAGTCTCCGGAGTAGCTAGGATTACAGGCATGAGCCACCAGCACCTGGCTTAAAATTATATGTTTTTTCTAGCTCTTTTAGCCAGGGTCTGAGCATATAATTGATACCCAATAAGTATATGATACAAATAAGAGAAGGTTTCTTTGGAGTTTGTAAATTTCAAAACATGAAATTGAACATTTTCCCTGAAATTGGGATGTGCTTTCTATAGAGGAACGAGCACCTATATGAACAGGACTTCTCATTTCACTATGTTTAACCAAGTAATAAAAATGTGAGTTTGAAACCAAATTTAAATAATATAATTTTTGCTTCATGTTCATAAACACTGATATTTTGCCTTGGCCAACAGCTTTTAAAATTGTTTTAAACTTTTTAATTTGTTTTTCAGGAGAAAGACCATTTATCTGCGAGTTGTGTGGAAATTCTTACACAGATATTAAAAATTTAAAGAAGCATAAAACAAAGGTCCATTCTGGTAAATGTCTATATATTTTTAAAAATGCATTACTATCATTCATGCCATTTGAACTGTAAATGTTGAAGTGTAAAATTCTAACAATTTGCATTCTGTGTCTGTGTTTTCTCTTTTCTTTTTTGGTTGTGGGGCTTGAACTTAGGAACTGAGCTCTGTCCCTGAGCTCTTTTGCTCAGGCTAACACTTTACCATTTTGAGCCATAGCACCACTTCCCATTTTCTGGTGGTTAATTAGAGATAAGTTTCATGGACTTTCCTGCCTGGGCTGGCTTTAAACCACCATCTTCAGATTTCAGCCTCCTGAGTAGCTAGGATTAACACGTTTGAGCCACCAGTACCAGTGTGTATCTGTATTTTCAAACTGGACATACACAAACAGCTTCACTTTTTTTTTTTTTTTTTTGCTAGGCTAGCACTCTACCACTTGAGCCGTGGGATCACATCCAGCTTTTTATGTTTATGAGGTAGTGAAGAGTAGAACCCAGGGCTAATAATCTATTCTTTTTTAAAAAAAAATCACATGTACAAATGTGGTGGTGCACATATGTACTCTCATTCCTCAGTTGGCAGAGGCAAGAGGATTGAACCATATACCCTAGTCCTTATAGGTTTTTTTTTTGTTGTTGTTGGTTATGAGGCTTGAACTCCAGACATGGGAGCTGCCCCTCAGCTCTTCAGCTCAAGGCTAGCACTCTACCACTTGAGCCATAACGCCATTTGGTTTTCTGAGTGGTTAATTGGAGATAAGAGTCTCATGGACTTTGCTATCCAGGCTGGCTTTGAACTACAATCCTCAGATCTCACCTCCTGAGTAGCTAGAATTACACACATGAGCCACTGATGCTTGGCTTTGAGAATTAGAATTTTACTAAAGCAAATACGTGTTTTATTTTTCTGCTTTTGTTTTTATTAACATATAATAGTATGAAAGGGAGAATTGCACATTTCTATGCATGTGTACAATGTAACAAGTATAATGAAGTCATATGAACACTTTGGAGTTACAAGAACAAATAAAGCTAGTGGAAACTGAACAGTTCATCTTCAGTTATGATAATTGCTTCCTGCAGTACAGAATTTCTCACCCTGGAGATAAGTTCCTACTTCTGAACTTGAATTCATAGGTTACTGGTGGCTATTTATAAAAATATCCAATGAACAAATAGTATTCATTTGATCTATCACTGTTCAGTACTTTGAAGGACTTAGGAAAGTATAAATATTTATACTAGTTGAAGATTTAATGTTTAATAGCAGTGGTGCCACAGAGTAGAGCATGAAATTTGACAAGAGTGCACTAGATAAAAAGTTCACTCTGGTCTGGAATAATTTATTTTTATGATGGAATTGGTGAGTGAACCCATCCTTGAGACCCAGATTACCCTAGGCATATCAGTAAAAGAAACAGCTTACACTAAGGTGTTGAGGTTGGAATGTAATTTTAGAGACCTGTGAGTAGATTAGTCTACTTCAGATGTTTTATTTTTAAAGATAATATAACAACATTTTCCCTCTTCCATTTCAGGTGCAGATAAAAATCTAGATTCCAGTGCTGAGGATCACACTTTGAGTGAACAAGATTCCATACAAAAAAGTCCTGTGTCAGAAACTATAGATGTGAAGCCTTTTGATATGACTTTACCATTAGCTCTTCCACTTGGGACAGAGGACCAGCATATGCTTCTTCCTGTCACAGATAACCAGTCTCCTACATCAGATACATTGCTGAGGTCCGCTGTGAATGGGTATTCAGAGCCACAGTTGATTTTTCTACAACAGTTATACTGACTTTGTGAGGAACGGGGAATTGCTAACACATGGTCTGGTGGTATACGTAAACAGCTCTGGATATATATATATATGTGTGTGTATGTATATATATATATATACATTCACCGAAGTAAAAACAGCTGAGGCTGCATTCTAACTGCAGTGCTGGTTTTGATTTTTGGCTTTTATGGCTAAACAGTACAGTTTTTTAAGGAATGAATTATACCATGGTAGCACTATTTTGGGTGAATAACTTCTCTTTTAAAGCTGCCTTAACTGGGTTTTTACTTTGCATTTTAGAATTGCCCTTCAATTACTGAAGTTGAATCTCAGCTTATATAGTTCTGTGGGATTTTTTTTTTTGTCTCCATCTGTGTTGCTGTCTGTAAGTCTCATAGGCCAATGCATAAACTCTGGGGACAAAATTTGACATTTCTGTAAAAATTTAGGTACTGAAAACAATAGTGCTATTTGTCTTATCAGTATATTCCTTTAGAAGTAACTTTTCTAAATGAAACCAAAAGAAATGCTTCCCTTAAAACTAGAAAACTGTATATAAATTTTTGCTCATTTAGAATTCAGTATTCTGGAGAAAAACAGTGGTCAGTCGGGTCAGTATTTTTTATTTTAGTTATTTGAGACTATATTTTTAAAATAGATACTTGGTGTTTTTATCTAGTCAAAAGACAGTTTCAAAATTTGATTCAGTTTATATTTTATTAGGTTTGTAGATTATTGGAAATGAGGAATATATACCGAGTTTTGAAAATTTTTTGATAAGCCTATCATATCTATTATGCACTTTTAAAAACAAATTCTGAGAGGAGTTTTTCTAAATAGAAAATGCATACTAGAAATCACTTGTCTCCTAAATTTAATACGTTATGTTGCATAGTCAGAAAACTTGTCCAGTATGCCTGGAGACTTGGGTTCAATCCCCAGCATGGGAAAGCAAACAAAAAATGAAATAGAGAGGTAAGAAACTAACTTAATTTTTATTATTAAACATTTTATACTTGAGTTTTCTATACACTTTGGGTTTTTAAATTTTGTAACTAAACTGCAACTTTTAGTTTCATGGGGCCCTTTTCCTTCCAAGGGAACATAGGAAACTTAATGGTATCCTGATACCACTACTCTTCCCACATACTAACTTATTTCACTGCTTCATCTTTAGCCATTAATTACCATGTTTCGTACAGTTTTCATAATGCTGATCAGACACCATGGTGACATTTCTACAATAGTTGTGGCTTATTTATTTTTGAGTTTTAAACTATATAATAAATTTAATGTGTTTATTGCTGTATTTCTTTAATTACAATTTTCTGTATTTGGGAGTCAAAGTCATAGGAGCCAGTTAGAAGAAACAAAATATTAATTTTGTAAATTAGAGAGATCTTTCACCTCAGCACATGTAACATTTTCCTGCTCACAGCTGGGTGTTCTATCACTTGAGCCATACCTCCAGCCAACACACAGCACTTTTTTTTGTTGTTGTTGGGGCTTGAAATCTGGGTCTGGGCGCTGTCCCTCAGCTCTTCAGCTCAAGGCTAGCGCTCTACCACTTGAGCCACAGCACCATTTCCAGCTTTTTCTGTTTGTGTGGTGCTGAGGAATCAAAACCAGGGCCTCATGCATACAAGGCAAACATTCTGCCACTAAGCCATGTTCCCAGCCCATACAGAGTGCTTTTGCAATAAATTGCCACCAGTACAGTTGACTTAAAGAGAGTTTGAAATACCACCTTTGCATAGTACAGACAACAGAATTGCACAGTTAAGAAAGGTATACATGTGTAGTTAGTTAAGATACTGGGTTAACGTTTTTTAAATGTTCAGACTAATTTACTCTGGCTTAAAATTCCAAAGGAACTTAACTGGAATGTAAAGATAACTAATAGACTAAACTTAAAAAAAAAAGTCTTATCAAAATGAGCCAGGCACCAGTAGCTTACTCCTGTAATCCTAGCCACTCATGCTGAGATCTGAAGATCTCGGTTTGAAGCTGGTCAGAGCAGAAAAGTCCTCCTGAGGACTCATCTCCAGCACTGTGGCTCAAATGGTAGAAAGCTATCTTGGAGCACAAAGAAGCTTAGGGATAGCGCCCAAGCTATCCAAGCCAATTTCAAGGCTTACAACCACTACCACCACCAACAAAAATATGTATCAGAATGGAAACTTAAATAATCCAAGCATCTTCAGTCAAAAAACCTTTTTTAAATACTGCTACATAGGAGTGCTGGCACATGTCTATGATGCTGGCACATGGGAGGCTAACGCAGGAAGATGAGCACGTAAAGCCGACTTGGCATCGTAGATGCCTCAAAGTAAGAAAGCAACTATAGTGATGTATTGTGTGAAGCCAAGAGGTCCCAAATTTCCTATATTTATCCGTAAATTATTTTCAAAACATTATTTTTAGTATTGTTCGGTAGAACTGGAATAGCTAACATAGTTTTGTTTTTTTTTTTTTTTCTTTTTAAATCACTTCTGGGCCGGAAAGGTAACTCAGTGGTAGAGTGCTTTCCTCGAATCCATGAGGCCCTGGGTTCGATTCCTCAGCACCATATAAGCAGAAAAAGCTGGAAGTGGCGCTGTGGCTCAAGTGGTAGAGCAACAGCCTAGAGCTGAGAGCTGAGGGACAGCGCCCAGGCCCAGAGTGCAGGCCCCACGACCAACCCCCCCCCCCAAAAAAAAAATCACCTCTGCTTAGCTAAAAAATTAAAATTTACATAGCTTCAGTTATCTTTGTTATCATCTGCCCTTCCAGAATTACATGAAAAGAAAGCCTAGAGACTAGAGTGTCTTATTTTTCCCTTAATGCTGTAACTAATCATAACGTTCAGATGTTTTAGTTGTACTTGATAATCATTCTAGTCCCATAATGGAGCATTTTAGTGAAGTGAAACATTTTTACAATGAAGTGTTCTGGAAAATATTTTTCATTATTTAAGTATAATAGAATAGCTGAATAGCTTCCTGAGGAATTTCTAAATGAACTTTCTCTTGTATTTGGATTAGATTACTCTTGCTGTATTGTTAGGGTATAGACATTATTTATTCTAGAGCTGAGGATCAAACTCAGGGCCTTGGCTTGCCAGGCAAATACTCTTGTACTGAGCTAAATCCTTAACCCCAGGGTGCAGACTTTAGAAAGAAGTCATGGGTTACATATAGTAGAGTTTTGCTATAGATAGTATTTGCTTAATGTTTATTTCACAGGATGGTTTTGTAAATATATTTTTTTGTTATAAAGGTGATGTACAGGGGCTGGGAAGGTGGCTCAGTGGAAGAGCACTTGCTTTGCATGCATGAGGCCCTGGGTTCGACTCAGCACCACATAAGCAAAAAAATCTGGAAGTGGCGTTGTGAGCACTAGCTTTTAGCTGAAGAGCTGAGGGATAGTGCCCAGGCCCAGAGTTCAGGCCTCATGACTGACAAAATAAATAAATAAAAAGTTATGTACAAAAGTAGTTACAGTAATGTAAATCACCCCTTTCACACCATAGGGTGAAAGTGGCACTGTGGCTGAAGTGGTAGTGCACTCACCTTGAGCTGAAGAGCTCAGGGACACCGTCCAAGCCCAGAGTTCAAGCCCTACAACCAACACCACCCCCCCCCCAAAAAAAATCACAGGGTTTTATAGACAAAAGAGATTTGTGTGTGCCTGTCTTTGCCCTATCCCTGAGCATTTTTGCTCAAGGCTAGCCCTCTACCACTTGAGTCACAGCTCCACTTTTGGTGGGGTTTTTGTTAGTTAATTGGAGAGAAGAGTCTTTTGGACTTGGCTGAACCATGTACATGCTGGAGAAGCTTTGTTGGCGATTTCAATGTAAACCATAGATTGAAGAATTCTTGGTTGTGGGGCTTGAATTCAGGGCCTCCGTGCTGTCCCTGAGCTTTTGTGCTCAAGGCTAGCACTCTACCACTTTAAGCTACAGTGCCATTTCTGTTTTTTTTTTTAATTTTTTTTTTGGGGGGGTCTGGTTGTGGGGACTGAACTCTGGGCTGAGCACTGTTCCTCAGCTCTTCAGCTCAAGGCTGGCACTCTACCACTTGAGCCACAGCACCACTTCTGAATTTTTTTTTGCTTATGTGGTGCTGAGGAATCGAACCCAGGGCCTCAGGCATGCAAGGCAAGCACTCTACCACTGAGCCACCTTCCCAGCCCACCACTTCTGTTTTTTGAGTAGTTAATTGTCTCACAGGGATTTTTCTGCCCCAAATGCTTTCAAACTTCAGTCCTCAGATCTCAGCCTGCTGATTAGCTAGGATTACAGGCTGAGCCACTAGTGCCCAACTGTAGAAAACAACTGAGGGGCAGGAATTACATAGCCATTATCTCCTGAGTAGCTAGGATTAGGTGTTAGCCCCAGCAACTGGCTTAAGCAGGGGGAGTGTCCTTAAAGGATGATTGTTCTAAAAACACTGGAAGAAAGTTTTAAAGTTATGTATTTACAGTATTTTTATGTACAGAAAAAATTGAGCCTTTTTCTTTCTGGCAGTACTATGGGTTGAATCAGCCTAAACTTTTGGGTTGAATCAGCCTAAACTTTTGGTAGGCAGGCAGTCTATCACTTAGATCACTCCTCAGCCCATTTTGCTTCAATTTTATTGTTTATGTCTTCGAATAGTTGGTTAAAGTGGTTTAAATGTAACATGTCCATTGTGTTTATAGCACATCTTGGTTGGTCAGTGACAACCTTTTCATCATTCTTCTCCCCTACCTAAATTATTTTTCAAATAGTCTGGCATTTAAGCCTGGCTAGCTTGGACTGCAATCCATTTTGTGCTTCCCAAGTAGCCATGATAACCAGTGTAAACTGTTCAATTTTTTTTGGGTCCAGTCGTGGAGCCTGAACTCTGGGCCTGGGTGCTGTCCCTCAGCTCTTCAGCTCAAGGCTAGCACTCTACCACTTGAGCCACAGTGCGACTTACGGCTTTTTTCTTTTGCTTATGTGGTGCTGAGGAATCAAACCCATGGCCTGATGCATGCAAGGCAAATGCTCTACCACTGAGCCACCTTCCCAGCCCAGAACATACATCTTCTTGAGCCTTTACTTAGTAGTCAGTTTTTAGTTTCATTCTGCTATTTTCATACATGTGTGTGTGTGTGTCTGTGTGTGTGTAAGTCGTATGTAGTAATTCATCCTCCTTCACCCTCAAAATAGAGGAAGATGTATTTACTTCTAGCTTACTCTGGTACGCTAGAAAATTAATTTCTAGTTGTAGCCAGTTAAAAACTGATACAAAGAAAATACAATTGATGATATCTTAAGGTACTGCTTAATCTTTTGGGAAAATACTGTTCTTCATACCTTTTGTCCCTGAAATGGTGTCCACATGTATGAATGTTTACATTGACATCGTGACATCAGGTTGGATGGGGTCTTTGGATCTTCCATTCTCTGTTACCAAATATAGTAGCTTGTTAGATGTGTGATCAGGTCTTTCCTAGCCTGGCCGACCCAAGTAGTTCTTGGCTCAGCTGACCTCACCCTGGTTCTCCAAGGCTCTAGCACCTGCACCTGTGTCTCCAGCAGCCCAGTGTAAGTCAGACTGCAGGTCTATTGTGCCATCCTTCTGCAGGCTCAAGGAAGCACACTTGCTTCCCCTTCAACTGTCTTCTGAATCTCCCCTTGCAGGAATATGAGAACTGTGGGTTCCACCCCTAGCCTACAGTAATTCAGTGACCTGCATTGTTAAGGATTAGGGCATCTGTGAGTTAGCATGAAAGGCCATATCTTTCCAGAATCCTGTAGACTCCTACTCAGAACTTCAAAGCAATGAAAAACAGACTACTAATACATTAAACAACATTAATAAATTACACTAATACCATAAAAATCCAGACATTCAAAAAAGGTTAGTTTGATTTATATAAAGTTCAAAACTAGACATGCTACTCTGTAATATTAGGAGCCAGGTAGTGGCTATCTATGAGAAGAGGGTTTTATTTGCTTCTTTTTGTGAAATTGTTATGCCTATTATACCTAAAAGGATTATATACAATGAATTTTCAGCTTCTAAACTTGAACTCCCCTAAAATTCACTGGAAATTTGCTATCTGAAACCTCTCTACTAAATAACAACCTTCTCGTTAGGAGATCTGTAGAGGCCTTTATTTGTATGCCATCACTATGGTTATATTTTCATTATTACAAAATTAGTATGCTCCTTGGTTTCTTTGAGGTTAGAATTTTAGTATTTACATTGTAAAAATTGCTTAAAGTTACAGCATTTGAACAAGTTTTACACTTTTGATAAACACAAACTGTTGTATTTGGAAAAAATTATAAAATACTAATCTCTGTAAAAGTAATAAGACAAATGCATGAGACCTATTTTAGAGTTTATTTTTCATAGATGTTCACCCACTGGAACAAGAGCAAAACCTGCATTCGTTGAAGGGCCATAAGCATCTCCGTAAGTTGGCGTCCAGTAATAGTGCTTCTTCAGGCCATTGGACACTTCTGCAAGGTACACATGTTCATCTACCACGTACGGATTGACATCTGTGTTGTTCGCTTTCAGATGGCCCTCTTCAATTAAATCTGAATATGCCTAGGAGTTTTAAGGAAAACTATAAGAATACAATTTTCAATTTATAGTGCTTAAACAAATGTAAATATTCCACTTAGCCGGGTGCTATTGTTTTTTGTTTGTTTGTTGGTTGTGGGGCTTGAACTCTGGGCCTGGGCGCCATTCCTCAGCTCTTCAACTCAAGGCTCTACCACTTACGCCACAGCACCACTTCCGGTTTTCTGGTGGTTTATTGGAGATGAGTCTCATGGATTTTCCTGCCCAGGCTGGCTTTGAACCAGTATCCTCAGATCTTAGCCTCTTCAGTAGCTAGGATTACAGGTATGAGCCATCAGCACCCAGCTTGCTATTGTTTTTTTGTTTGTTTTGGTACTGGTCCTAGGGCTTCAACTCAAGGCCTGGGTGCTGTCCAGAGATACTTTTGTTTTGTTTTGCTTTTTTGTGCTCAAGGCTAGAGAGCTACCACTTAAGTTACAGCTCCACTTCCAGCTCTTTTTTTTTTTTTTTTTAAGTCTCATGGCTTGGAACCATAATCCTCAGGTCTCAGCTTCCTGAGTAGCTAAGATTATAGGCATGAGCAAACAGTGTCTAGCTGCAAAACTTACTTCTAAGTTTTAATGTACAAGGCATGTTTTGTCATTTGGTGGTTCCTGGAGTTAATTCTTTTTTTTTTTTTTTTTTTTGCCAGTCCTGGGGCTTGAACTCGGCTGCCTGGGCACTGTCCCTGAACTTATCTTGCTTGAGGCTAGCACTCCACCACTTGAGCCACAGCACCACTTCTGGCTTTTTCTGTTTATGTGGTACTGAGGAATAGAACGCAGGGCTTCATGCATGCTAGGCAAACACTCTACCACTGAGCCACATTCCCAGCCCTTTATACCACTAACTTTATGGATCATAAATATACCACCAACTTTATGGATCATAAGTCTGATAGTCAAAATTCTCAAATCCCACAAGTGCTCTTAAGACAGGTTGTAGTAGACAAAACGAGCAGCATTGTTCCAATGCTCTCAAAATACCACAGGAACCTGGCTTGATGGTGTGTGTTGAAATCCCAGAAATGCAGGGGCTGAGGCAAATCTGATGAATAAGTAGGAATTCATTCCTCAAAAAAAAAAAAAAAAATCAGAGCCCCATGTTTGGACATAGGATTGTATGGAGTTTGTGAACCCTCGAAATGAGTCTATGAATTTAAGCCAAGAAAATACCACAGCATTTGATATTGACCTACTAGTTATTCTTCACTTTAGAATGTTTAAATCTCCAGCAGACCCTTGGTGTCTAAGTATGCCAAGCAAACCTGGCACTGCCGTGTTCCGGTTGCCATTCTATGAAACAAACAGAAACTGAAACACTGAAAGATTTAAGAATTTGGTTTGCTTTCTGTTTAGCTTGTCATTAGCAATAGTTCCAAAGTCAGATTATATAGCTTCTAAAATGTACAACTACTAAAGCATATGGATACTCTAAAATTGTGGTTTTTTTAGACAAAAGTTTGTGCTTTATTAAGGTAGTCACAGTAGGATTCTGTAAGTCTTTTGGCAAATTCTGAGTATTTTAACATATTTTTTTCTGAATGAAAGCTGTTACTATGAGTTTGTTTTGTACTATCACGGACTCTCAGGATTTATGTGAACAACATACCAAATGTTTTTTACAGTTTGTACCATATGTCTGTAGTTCTGTCTTCATACAATTCTGAGGAAATAGTTGGAGATTTTGCTACCTCAAATCAGTAATTTTTTGTTTTTGTTGGTCATGGGGCTTGAACTCAGGGCCTGGGCATTGACCCTGAGCCACTTTACTCAGACTTAACACACTACCACTTTGAGTCATAGTACCACTTTAGGTTTTCTGGTGGTTAATTGGAGAGAAGAGTCTCACGGCCTTTCCTGCGTGAGATAACATGGAACCGTGATCCTCAGGTCTCAGCTTCCTGAGTAGCTAGCATTACAGGCATGAGCCTCCCACATCCAGCTTGTTTTTTGTTTTTGTAGTTTGTTTTACTTTAGAGGAACTGGAGCTGCATAATTCAGTGCTCTTTAATACCAGTATATGGTATGTAGTATTTTACTATTTTTTAACCATAAAACTTTCCTGTAGCTGATTTTTAGGATTTATATTAAAACAAACTGTAGTGTTTCCCTATACTCTGTAACCTTTCCTAAGGTCCCTATAAATGTCTAAAGCTGTAAAGACATCCCAGGAAAATCTTTTATTGAAGAAAACTTACCACACATGTAGCTTCATCAAATTTGTTTCCCCAAATGTAAATATTACTTAATATGGGATTTATTTTCATTGAGTTTGAAAGTGCAATAAGTCCTTCTCCATCTATCTGGTTGCTGACTACTGACAGTCTGTAGAAAAACAAAAGGTAGTAACAGTGGAAATCATTTTCACAAAACAACACATAACAGCAACATTTATGCCATCCCTTTCTTGTGTAATTCTTAGTATTCTAAACATTTTTATGTGATGATCAAAATATTAATCATATAATTCCTAAAGCCCAAGAAATTTAGTTTTATCACTAAATGCTTCATATCTCTAGGAATGCTGCTCAGAAAGTCTTTGTGTTTTAACATGTTTGAAAATACTTAAATTATAGTGTCTTTGTCATGTTGAATGCTTATGGCTTTTCTGTTAGAATTCCGGATAAATGATATAAACAAGGAATTTTTCATGAATTTTAACAAACAAATAACTAGAATTAGTCTTTTTTTTTTTTTTCTTGTTCTGTGTTTTTGTTTTTGGCAGAGCAAGGACTTGAACTCAGCTGATGTTCTACTTTTTTTTTCATTTTGTCAGTCTTGGGGCTTAAACTCTGGGCCTGGGTGCTGTCCCTCAGCTCTTCAGCTCAATGCTAGCACTGTACCATTTGAGCCACAGCACCACTTCCAGTTGTCTGGTGGTTTATTGGAGATCCTCAGATCTCAGCCTCCTGAGTAGCTAGGATTACAGGTGTGAGCCACTGGTGCCTGGTTGGTATTCTACTTTTTGAGCCACTTCCTCATCCTGCTTTTTGCTGGTTATTTTAGAGATGGAGTCCTTTGAACTTTTCTGCCAGAGCTGGCTTTGAACCCAAGATCCTCCAGCTCTCAACCTCATATATATATAATTATAGACGTAAGACATTATACTTAGCTGGGCACCAGCGGCTCACGCCTGTAATCCTAGCTACTCAGAGGCTGAGATCTGAGGATTGTGGTTCAAAGCCAGCCCTGGCAGGAAAGTCTGTGAGACTCTTATCTCCAATAAACCACTAGAAAACCAGAAGTGGCGCTATGGCTTAAGTGGTAGAGCACTCGCCTTGAGCTGAAAAGCTCAGGGACAGTGCCCAGAGTTCAAGCCCCACAACAAACCAACCAAAAAAAAAAAATTATACTTGAAAAACAAACCAAATGTGGGCTGGGAAGGTGGCTCAGTGGTAGAGCGCTTGCCTTGCAAGCCTGAGGCCCTGGGTTCGATTCCTCAGCACCACATAAGCAAAAAGGAAAAAAAAGCCGGAAGTGGCGCTGTGGCTCAAGTGGTAGAGCGCTAGCCTTGAGCTGAAGAGCTGAGGGACAGCGCCTAGGCCCAGAGTTCAAGCCCCACGACTGGACCCCCCCCCCAAAAAAAAAAAAGAAAGAAAAACAAACCAAATGTTTTATATAACTTAATATGGTTTAGAAAATGGATTTTCACATTTCATGATTTTAAAAGATTGAGGTTAATATTCTAAAAGGATAAGATTTTGATTATTTTGATTAAATATAAAAGCATACTAACGCTTTAAGACTCCTGTTGTATGAAGTTAGCGTTTCGCTGAGATAAATTGCTCCTGCACTTTCTATTCTGTTAAAAGAAAGATCAATTACTTCCAAGGTAGTATTGCTTTTCAGTACAGCAGCCAGATATACCATTCCATCTCGAGTTATCTTATTGCTGGAGAAAGAAAATATTTAGTAATATTGTAAAATAGAGTAGTGTTTTTTGTTTATAGCAGCAGTAAGATGCTTGAAATCCTGTAATAGTACTTTCCATTTTAGTAACTTCAACTTCCAAGAAAGTTGATGAAAATTAACCATAAAATACAGCCTCTATCTTGCTGGTATAACTGTTTGTTTGCCCTTTTAAGAGATATAATACAGAATGCACAATATTCAAGCTTAGGATAATAGTGTAACAGAAGCATCCCATGTACTATGACATTTCTGTAGATTATTGTCATGACCTAACTCCCAAATTCCTAGTGTGCAAATGCTCATTTACCAGCTGACATCCAGGTAGCGCAAGCTGCTATTCAGGTGCAAGCCCTCGCACAGCTGTTGCATGCCGTCATTTTTTATTCCATGCTTACACATATGCAGCTCAATAAGGCAGTGGTTTTCTTTCAACATATTTCCCACATGGACAGTAGACTCATCCTAAAAATACATAATTGTGGCTCTAAGTTGCAGTTTTGAAGCACTATATTGCTGGTGTTTAGATTACCTTTGTCTTTTTTTTTAAAAATAAAGCTTGTTATGTAGTCTAGGATGACCTTGAACTCTGAACCTGCCTCAGTCTCCCAGGTTGCTAGGATTATAGGCATGTGCCACCATGCCAAGCCCCAAAGAGTATCTTTTTTTTTCTTTTTCTTTTTTTGCCAGTCCTGGGACTTGAACTCAGCTCCTGAACACTACCTGAGTTGCTTTTGCTCAACTACCACTTAGCCACAGTGCCACTTCCACCTTTTTCTGTTTATGTGGTTCTGAGGAATCAAACCCAGGGCTTCATGCATGCTAGGCAAGCACTCTACCACTAAGCCACATTCCTAGCTGCCCAAAGAGTATCTTTCCTTTTTACAAATCCATAGCAGACACTTGTAAAATGAAATTACTTAGTGGCTGGACACTGGTCATTATTACAATGATAATTACTCAGGAGGTTAAAATCTGAGGATTATGGTTCAGAGCCAGCCGAGGCTGGCTTTCCACCAAGGGGGGATGAAAAAGGCCAAAAGTAGAGCTGTAGTTCAAATGGTAGTGCTAACTTGTGCAAAAAAGCTCAGAGACCGTGCCTAAGCCCTGAGTTCAAGCACACGCACATGCACAACTGCAGTGGCTCAGTAATATGAGAAAGATAATTTGGGTTACAAAAATAATTGGCAAGAATTGATACAAATAGGTCATTTCAAAAAAAGTCATGGAAACGGCTTGTTGCATCTTGTACTGCACATGAAACCAACTGCTGTCCTGAGAAGACTCCCACCCTCTCCTGCACAGCCAGCCACTGAACTGCCTTGGCTCCTCATCACCCCTTTGACGGTTCCAAGATGAAACAAGACATTTACCTATCTTGGTTTTTAAATACACTCATTAAACCCTCTGATGTATCTGACTTCTTTTATAATCTTCCCAAATACATGATTTTTTTTTAACTGTATTTTTTTTGTCTTTTCTTTTTTGGTACTGGGGATCGAACCCAGGACGTTGCGCTTGCTAGGCAAGCACTTTGCCACTGAGCTACATCCCAGCCCCAAATACATGATTTTTTTCTGGTCACAGACTTTAAAATGTTTTTTACATTCTAGCCGGGTGCTGGTAGCTCACGCCTGTAATCCTAGCTACTCGGGAAGCTGAGATCTGAGGATCACGGTTCAAAGCCAGCCTGGGCAGGAAAGTCTGTGAGACTTTTATCTCCAGTTAACCACTAGAAAACCAGAAGTGGCACTGTGGCTCAAGTGGTAGAGCACTAGCCTTGAGCTGAAGAGCTGAGGGACAGTGCCCAGAGTTCAAGACCCACGACCAACCCCCCCCACCCCCCAAAAAAAAGTTGCAATCTAGTTGCTTCTAAGCAAAAAGTAGATGTTAATGCAAAGCACTCTTCTAACAAAATAAAACGAATGCTGTAGAGTAGTTTGTGGTAGGAAATCCCTCTCCAGTGATTGTTGTGCAGCATGCCAGGTTTTCTAGTCACTGGAATGCTAATGGACCTGGACAGCCATGTGCCCTTGCAGTGTGGAAGTGCCTTCGGGAACTCCAGAAGTTAGATGAAACCACACAGTCATAGCAGCAAGTGCATGTGCACCAAGATAAACCTGTACCTTCTATTTGCTCCTATGACTTGGGAAAACTTACTTTGTCTAGCTGAATCTCACTTTCCTTCTGTAAAATAGTAAAATGATGTTTCCTTCACAGCATTCAGTAAGTTTGCAAATAAAATGTACCCGACACATAATAAGTATAGTATAGCAAACCCTCGAATCATTTATTGTACAGTATTGCAATCCTGTATCTGATTCATTGAAATTACTGCTGTCATACAGGAAAGATTCTCACAGAAATGCCACATAGTCTGGCATCTTAAAAACACAAACTGACCACTAGAGGGTTCATTACCATTGTGCCTTTGGCTTGGCACAGAGGGCAGGTACACTTGATCTGTACCATGGCTGCATTTTAAGCCTGAAAAAGGAAGCAGCCTTATTAAGGGAGGGAGTGGGAAGAGTGGCACCTGGCATTGGCACTTTTACAGGCTCCTCAGATAGTGTCAACGAAAAATCACAGGTGAGATCCAACATCTTGTAGCTTCTGATCCTGCTACCTAGCGATCAGCCACAGTGAGGAGTATTAAAGCCTTGCGTGCAGTAGCTTTTATATATATATGGGGTGGGGGTGGGGGACACCATAGCTGCCTTAGAGACTAGCAAGCAGACCAGAGCCTACCTGGTCACTATAAACACCTAGACCTGGACCTGTACCAGTACTGGGGATTTAATATTCTTAAATAGATTTGGGGTTAACAATACCACACAACATATTTACAAGAGGGAATGGATTGTGCTTCCAATGTGATTTCACATAGCTCAACATTTCCTCAGGAATATAATCCAGAATTTTTTTTTTTTAATTAAGCCTTCAAATCTGTCATGTCTTCACTTTGGGACCCTTTCCTTCCTGCTTCCTGCCTTCGTGGCTCTGACTTCAGTGTCCTTCCATTAGCTCCCATGACGCCCTGAGCCCTGACTGTACCAGCTGACTGCCTCCACAGACTGCAGCCCCTTTTATAACTACCTCTAGTGTCTAGAAGTTGGTCTAGTTTAGAGTTCCATTTAGATATTTACTGAGTGAAATAAACCATGAATGAAGCAGTTCGCCAGGCATTTTGCTGGTTTTTTTTTTTAAGATTTGTTTATGGAACCATTGGAACTCAATATTTTGAGAGCTTGTAAAGTATGTTTCTCTTATTTATGAGTCTCTTGGACAAATTAAGGTTATCTTTAAGAGCATGATTTAAAACTCTAAAAACTTAGTATAACAAAGTACAGATAGGGAGATACCTATATAGGTAAGAGAACACAAAGCACTTCTGAATAAGAAAAAAACTTTTTTTTTTTGGTCAGTCATGGGCTTGAACTCAGAGCCTGGGCACTGTCCCTGAGCTTTTGTGCCACTTCCAATTTTCTAGCAGTTAATTGGGCACCAGTGGCTTACGCCTGTAATCCTAGCTACTCAGGAGGCTGAGATAAGAAGAATTGAGGTTCAAAGCCAGCCTGGGCATGAAAGTCTGTGAGACTTTTATCTCCAGTTAACCACCAGGAAACCAGAAGTGGTGCTGTGGCTCAAGAGGTAGAGTACTCGCCTTGAGCTGAAGAGCTGAGAGACAGTGCCCAGGTCCAGAGTTCAAGCCCTACAAAGTCTTACAGACTTTTCCTGCCTGGGCTTGATCCTCAGATTTCAGCCTCCTGAGTAGCTAGGATTATAGCTGTGAACCACCGGCACCCGGCTTGAAAAATGGCTTTTAAAAGAATGGTTCATTCTCAGTTATACTAAGGGGGAAACAAGGAGGTCATTAATTTAAAATGACTTAAAGTACTCTGAACTTTAAAGTTCACTTGAACATTGAATTTTAATGTTCACTTCATTATAGAAAGCACTTTGGATATTTTTTACTTTTCCTTGTAGTAAATATATCTTTAGGCCAGTAATAGAATGAATTTATTTCTTAGTGTTTACAATGGACAGAGAAGTAAGTCGCCCAAAAGGATGTTGGAAAAAGCTTTGAAAGAATCACGCACATTTCCATTATCTTTCTATCTCCAGCTAGCACTTCCACGTGCTCATGGTCAGACCTGCCAAGTGCTGCTCACACACTTTGCTGTGTTCATTTATGAACTCAGAAATGGCATCGTTCACTCACATGAATATAACAGAAAGACACTGGCAAGGGATCTTACATCAATGACCTCTAAAACATTAAGCATGAACACTTTTAACTTTTGACATACTTATTCATTCAGAACTTGAGTTTCATGAGGAACAATAAGTGCTTGCTGCTTAAATAAGCAACATCTGAGTACATGTTTAGTTATAAAGTCTTATCAGGAACTAACAAGACATGCTGGTACATACCTGTAATTCCAGCACTAAAGAGGCTGAGGTAGGAGGACTGTGAGCCAGAGGCAAACTAGGATTATATAGAAAACCTGACTTAAAACATGAAAATTTGAGAAAGTTTTTTTTTTTTTTGCCTGTCCTGGGTCTTGAACTCAGGGCCTGGGTTCTATCCCTGAGCCTCTCTGTGCTCAAGGCTAGAACTCTACCACTTGAGTCACAGTGCTACTTCCAGCTGTTTTCTGCTTACATGGTTGTGAGGAATTGAACCCAGGGCTTCATGCATGCTAGGTAAGCACTCTACCACTAAGCCACATTCCCAGGCCCAAGAAAATTTTCATTTGAATAAAACCTTTCATTTCTAACTAGTAGTATACACTATATAAGGAAATTCCTATGCATATTAACATCAGAATTCTGTAGGACCTTAGTTTCAGTCACATTATAGATTAACTACTGTCACTTTGAATACATACCTGTTCACTGTACATTATAGGTCGGTTGAGGTTTATTCCTTTAATTGCTTGGTTTTGAGTTAGGACTGTAGCAAATGCAATCACACTTTGCATTCCCTAAAAACAAATAAATTCATTAGGGAAACATCATATACCAACGCACGCGCGTGCGTGCGTGCGTGCGTGTGTGTGTGTGTGTGTGTGTGTGTGTGTGTGTGTGTGTGTGCAGAGCTTGAACTCAGGGCCTGGCTCTGTCCCTGAGCTGCTTTTGCTCAAGGGTAGCTCCCTACCACTTTAGCCACAGTGCCACTTTGGCTTTTTCTGTGTATGTAGTACTGAGGAATTGAACCCAGGGCTTCATGCGTGCCAGACAAGCACTCTACCACAAGCCACATTCCCAGTACAACCTGAGGGACTTTTTAAAAGCACCTATCTGCTCATGTCACAGCTCAAAGCCTTTCTGTGGTTCACATTTCAAACGACTCTTCTCAGGTATGGACCTTGACAGATCTGGTCTCAGGGAGCCTCAACACTTCTACTTCAACATAACACGTGGACTTTTCAGTATTTGTAGAGTTGTTTGTTTGTTCTGCGTATACTAGTCCTCGGGCTTGCTATCCCTGAGTTTTTTTGCTTAGTGCTTTTGCTCTACCACTTGAGCCACAGCTCCACTTCTGGCTTTTTATGGTAAAATTTTCAGTTCTTAAAATATCTCAATGTTCATGTACCTCCTTCAAAATATGTAAACAATACATTTCTCATTATCAGACCAAATGTAGGCTCAGAGCTACTTTTAGCATCATCATTGTAGTTTGAAACCTCCTTTTTGTTGTTGTTGTTATTATTATTGGTTGTGGGGCTTGAACTCTGGGCCTAGGTGCTGTCCCCCTCAGCTCTTCAGCTCAAGGCGAGTGCTCTAACCACTTGAGCCACAGTACCACTTCCCATTTTCTGAGTCCTTTATTGGAGATAAGCGTATCATGGCCTTTTCTGCCTGGGCTGGCTTTGAACTGTGATCCTCAGATCTCAGCTCCTGAGTAGCTATGATTATAGGCGTGAGCCACCATTGCCTGGTGAAACCTCCTTCTTTAAAAAAAACATAGGTTGAGATGAACTATGGATAATCAGAAATGTTTTTATTATGCTGCCTATTTTTGTATAGTATTTACTATAATCTGATTTTATTAATAGTCTTGAACTACTATGCGAAATGAAAAAACATTTTCTGACACATATTTGGGTTAACCATTAATAAAACGTGTGTGTGTGTGTGTGTGTGTGTGTGTGTGTGTGTGTGTGTATTGTTTGCTCTGTATCTTTCTCTAGGTGGTACTAGGACTTGAACTCAGGGCCTCACCCTTAGCAGGACAAAGCTCTGACACTGAGGACAGGACTCCAGCCCTTAGCTGGTCTCTTGAACAGTTAGTTCTCCAAGCTGATTTCCTGGCCCAAGGGAGGCAGGGGATGGAAAACCCAATGTCTGGGTGATTTTCTCATAAAAAATGTACTCACAAGATCACAGTCACCCAGGTCTAATTTCTCTAAGGATGAGTTAATTTGAAGCATTGTAGCAAAACACATTCCACCTTTATTCTCAATCTTGTTTCCAGTCATTCGGAGGTATTTCAGAGTTTTATTTTTCTGAAAAGGAATGGAATCAAAACAGATATTTACATTCTCTCTCTCTCTCTCTCTCTCTCTCTCTCCTCTCTCTCTTTGCCAGTCCCAGGACTTGAACTCTGGGCCTGAGTTTTTTGCTTAAGACTAGGCCTCTACCACTTGAGCCACTTCTAGCTTTGTGTGAGTAGTTTATTGGAGATGAATCTCACAGACTTTCCTGCCCAGGCTGGCTTTGAACCACAATCCTCAGGTCCCAGCCCAATGAATAGCTAGGTTTACAGGCATGAGCCACCGGCACCCAGCAATTTACATCTTTTTTTTTTTAATTTAATTTTATTTGTGAACATACTGTACAGAGGGGTTACAATTACATGGGCAGGATAATGCGTACATTTCTTACCAAGCATTGCAGCCTCCTCCTTTGTTTACCCTTCACATCCCTTCCCAGCCTCCCCCCCCCCCCCCCAACCCCACCCCTCCCCCCCCCCCCACCGACGTTGTAAAGCTCCTTTTGGACATGACAACTTGTACTTCTCATTGTTGCAACAGGTCCACCTGTATCCTTAAACAAAGCAATTTACATCTTAATCTACAGCATTTTCTACATAAAATGAGTTAGAAGGCAACATTACTGTTTGTAGATTCATATTTTTTCACTGGAAGCAGAACAGTTACTTAAAAGTAACACTGAATAAAAGAAAAAATTAGAAATAATGATCAAACAACAGTCATCCAAGCAATAACTAGTGATGAATGCAGATTTTAATAAACTTTCCTTCCACTGGAAACTCTGTAAATTATTTCCTAAAAAATTAACCCTTTTAAAGTGTAACAGTTCAGTAGCATTTATTACATGAGCATTGCTTACAGCTAGTTGAAAACATTTTTATCATCTTTGACAGTATCCTGTGCTATTGCCATTAAGCAAGCATAACCTCTCTCCCTACACCTGTGTATCTCTCTTCTTTCTCTCTGTCTTTGTCTCTGTCGCTCTCTTTTTCCCCTATCTCTCTCCCCTTCCCTCCCCATGCTCTGGATCAAACCCACAGCTTCATGAATGCTCAGCAAGTGTTAATTCACTGATACACGTGTGTGCACACACACAAACACACACGCACACGTGCACGCATGCACTGAGGAAAAAGCCAAAGCACAGCACCCAGGCTCCAAGTTCAAGCCTACCAACAAAAATAACAAAAAAGCAACAAAAAAGAAATTAATATTCAAAAAATGGTTAGAGGCATATACGTGCTTACTTGTAGGGCTTTAGCAATCAATTCTCCACCATCAGCCTGAATGTCATTAAACATAAGATTTAAGTAAACGATAGACGGCTGTTTCTGTAATGAAGAACAGAAAGAAGCTATTACGCAGGCATTTTAGGAAATCCATCAATTACACAGGTTTTATGTTTTTGGGTGTTGATTGACCCAAAGATAATCTTTGACCTCCAAAGATAATCTTTATACCTCAGGAAAACTGAATCCCAGCAAAAGCACTGACCTGAAGGGAAAAGAGCATTCTTGTTTAAAAATGCAAGTGAAAGGAAAACAGTCTTTAGAGTTTTAGCAAGTTCTAAGTGTGGTTCTGCCTTACATGTGTCACCATGGTGTACAAATCTGAAAATGATGACCAAGTGGCTCTTGGTGCCAGCTCTGCTGAGACTAACCCTGAGTGGGGTTCCCTGTGTTTCAAGTGTTAGAAATACAGCCCAGAGTTCTGGACCCTCGATGCTTTGCCTTGAGAGAGAGAGAGAGAAAGAGAGAGAGAAAGAGAGAGAGAGAGAGTGTGCATTTCCTATAAGTGGAAATAATATGTTGTAGGAATATCATACCTGTAGCAGTTTTGCAGCATAGTATGCACCAGTATTCCCGATAAAGTTATATCTAGCATCCACACCTGGAGGACACAAAGCACAGAAAGAGATGTTCCTTGCAGAATGGAAGCAATACAACCCAAAGGGGAGAGTTGGGGGGACAGGGAGGAGACTAGTGATTCCGAGGGGAGGGGAGGGGAGGGGAGGGAGGAGAGTAGTGACTCTTAATGAAGCATACCACTGATACACGAATGATTCTTCAGAACTTTGGAAAGAATGCAAAAGTCTTCACCTGTTACCCTCTGTACTTGGACTAAGCGATTGTTACCAGCAATGTTTAATGTGATTTCTGTTACCATTCTAAAATACATGAAAATAACAGCAAACAAAAGCAAAGATGTTAAAATTCAAAGAAATCCAGTGAGGAACTATTATTTTCTTCATGTATAAATAACATTTGCTGGAACTAAGTATGGAGTAGACTTACATCAAGTACTTACACCAGATAAAAACTACTGGACATCTAGACTTTAATATTCTGTACAATTTAATCTCTCTCTCTCTCTCACACACACACACACACACACAAAGAATCCCCATTCTATACATAAAAACATTGAGAACTGATGATCTGGTGAAGTTCACCTAGCTCATAGGCTTGTTGAAGACTTTAGGGTGCCCAATCTAGGGCTGTTCCTCTACCACCTCTAAGACCATCAAACCATGGAAATGCCCAACCTGGGCACTGATGTCTCATGCCTATAATTCTAGCTGCTCAGGAAACAGATCTGAGGATTGTGGTTCAAAACTAGCTCTGACAGGAAAGTCTGTGAGACTCCTTATCTTCAACTAACCTCCAAAAAGCTAAAAGTGGAGGTGTAGGTCAAGTGGTAAAATGTCAACCTTGAAGGGAAGAAGCTAAGGGATAGCACCTAGGTCCTTAGTTCAAATCCCAGTACCAGTACACACACACACACACACACACACATGTGTATTACCAAGCCATTTTCATGTCTTTAAATCACTGACTTGTTAGGATTTTCACAGAAATAGTGAACACTACGAGGTCATCGAGTATTTGCCTTCCTTACCCCTTTTTCATTGCTGTATCCACTTCTTGGAGTATGTGCTCAATGAAAGGATTAATCGTACGTGATTTTTCCATACACAGAATAACATACTGTTCCTTGAGACCAGGTGCAGATTCTGAAGCTTTTGAAAAATAAGTGCATCCATCACAATATGCTAATTATTGAAGAAGTTTGCTATCAAAGATGTGTATGTGTGAAGATGATGAGGGAAAGAAGAAAATAATGGAAGAATAAAAATGCCACTTTGAAAATGAGGATTACATCCATAAAGTGTGGGTTAACCCTGGCTTGGTGATACAAAAGAAAAAGTATCTATGGGGCTAGGAAGGTGGTTCAGTGGTAGAGCGCTTGCCTTGTATGCATGAGGCCCTGGGTTTGATTCCTCAGCACCACATAAGCAGAAGAAAAAGTCCAGAAGAGGTGCTGTGGCTCAAGTGGTAGAGCGCTAGCCTTGAGCTGAAGAGCTGAGGGACAGCGCCCAGGCCCAGAGTTCAGGCCCACGACTGGACCCCCCCCCCAAAAAAAGGAAAAGTATCCTCTACCATGTGCAAAGCCTGGTAGCTCTGAGAAATGATGTGTAGATCACTAAATGTGAAATAAGTTAAAAAACATTTTGCATAAGATCATGGAACTTTTTTTTTTTTTGGTCCTGAAGCTTGAACTCTGGGCCTAGGCACTGTCCCTGAGATCTTTGTGCTCAAGGCTAGCGCTCTACCACTTGAGCCACAGCACCACTTCCAGCTTTTTGAATAGTTAGAAGAGTCTCATGGACTTTCCGGGCCAGGCTGGCTTTGAGTCATGCTCCTCAGATCTCATCCTCCTGAGCAGCTAGGATTACAGGTGTGAGCCACTAGTGCTCAGCTGGAATTTATTCTTTTTAAGGGGAATGTGCAAATGAAGATGACTCCAAATTCTAACCCACTGTGACACAATGGGTTCCAGCGACTCAAGCTTCCTTAAACTAGCTCCCAAATAAAGGCAATTTTATCAACAATCTAAGTCCAGAAGGATCTGAAAATGTGTCTGGTCCCATAGATCTCTTTGGTACCCTGTATACCATCCAGGCATCTTCTAACAAAACTGGCTTATTAAAACACCACCAACTTTCATTTCCTATTCCTAAAGCTGACTTTTTTCCTGGAAAGTTCTTAAAAATGAGACTCTCTCTCTCTCTCCCCCCCCCTCTCTGTCCCTCCCTCCTTCCCTCCCTGCCACCCTCCCCTCCTCCCCCCCCCTCAGCTTGAACTCTGGACCTGGGCGCTGTCCCTCAGCTCTTCAGTTCAAGACTAGTGCTCTACCACTTGAGCTTATTGGAGATAAGAGTCCATCCAGTCTTTCCTGCCAGGGCTGGCTTTCAACAGTGATCCTCAGATCTCAGCCTCCTGAGTAGGTAGGATTACAGGCATGAGCCACCACACCCGGTGCATCTTTCCTTAACAGTCTTACTATTTTCAAACATTTTCTACAGGCCCAGGTTTTCTGAGGTGAAAAGTTAAAGTGTTACTTTTCTAAGAGGCATGGGTCATGGTCTCTGCTGTCTACCTTTTGTGTATGTCTCTTTAAATGTCTGTGACCTGAGATCTGGATTTTGGGGAACTGACTTAAGTGTTGACATCTCAGAAATATCCTTTGCTGAGTGGATTCCTATCCTATAAGAATTAAAGAGTTAGGGGCTGGGAAGGTGGCTCAGTGGTAGAGCACTTGCCTTGGATGGCTGAGGCCCTGAGTTTGATTCCTCAGCACCACATAAGCAAAAAAAGAAAAAAGCCGGAGGTGGCGCTGTGGCTCAAGTGGTAGAGCACTAGCCTTGAGCTGAAGAGCTGAGGGACAGCGCCCAGGTCCAGACAGAGTTCAGGCCCCATGACAGGACCCCCCCCCAAAAAAGAAAGAGTTTGCTAAAGAGATCTGCAAAACAAGACTGAGGATGAAAGGAAATAAATTTACATTTACCAGCTCACATATATATATATTTTTAAAGAACTAAATTTGAGGAAGGGGAAACAAAGGAGGAGGCAACAATGCTTGATAAGAAATGTACTCATTACTTTGCCCAAGTAATTGTAACCCCTCTGTACGGTATTTTCACAAAAATGTAGGAAAATGTCTGTTTTTCAATTGAAATATATAAATAAATATAAAACGCATAAATACAAAAAGAAAACAAAATTTGAGTGTTTGGGCACAGTTTGATGTGTTTGTTTTTTAAATAACATTATAAAGTGTTCTCACGTCATTATTCTCTGGAAAAATTTAAACGTCCTGCAGGCCAGGTAGCAGTGGCTAATGTTTACTAACCATCCATCCCATTTGGGAGTCTGGGAATAGGAGGATGGTGGTTTTAAGGCTCGGAGTGTCTAGGGGGCCCTCGGGAGGCCCCGATGGCCGCGCTCGCCTGGGGCCTGGGGGCCGAGGTCTACGCGGCAGGCCTCACGCCGTCGACCCCACACGAGGCGGACCCCGCGGGGCCTCGGGTTTGGAGGAGGCGCCGCAAACTCCCCGGGGATGGGCCGGGCGGAGCGACCGGCGCGCTCGCGTGTGTCCTCCGGGCCAGGAGGTGCCCTCCTCCTTACCGAGCTGGCCCTTCGAGACCGAGGCCCTGGTGAAGGCCTGGGTGCGGCCCTGAGACCGGGACTTGCTGTCCTTCTTTTTCCAGCTCCTCGGCATGCTGGCCTCACTCCGCAGGACAGCAATGGCGGCCCGGACGGCGCTGCCATGGCGACCGTACACGCGCTACCCCAGGCGCCCTACGCTAGGAGAGGGGCGGGGACTATGGCGTTGCCTTGGTGACCGCAGGTGCACCGCCCGAGCCTCAGAATGCTGGAGGAGATGGAGGCGGGGCCACGGCGCTGCCATGGCGACCGCAGGTACACCGCCCGAGCCTCAGAATGCTGGAGGAGATGGAGGCGGGGCCACGGCGCTGCCATGGCGACCGCAGGTACACCGCCCAAGCCAGAGTGCTGGAGGAGGTAGAGGCGGGGCCGCGGTAGGTGCACCGCCCAAGCCACAGAATGCTGGAGATGGAGGCGGGGCCACGGCGCTGCCATGGCTACCGCAGGTGCACCGCCCAAGCCACAGAGTGCTGGAGGAGATGGGGATGGAGGGGCCCACGGTGCTGCCATGGCGACCGCGCGTGCGCCGCCCAAACCCTGGGCAGGCCGCAGGTAGGGCTCACGGGGCGGGCGGAGACGGGGTCTGGCGCGCGCAGGCCCGGCCCGCCAGGTGGGAGGGGTTTGAGGAGGGTGGGGCTAGGCGCCTCGGCAGCTCCTGGCCGCGTCCTCTTGGACTGAGAGGTCTGAGCAGTGCTGGGCCTAGCTGGTCTTAGTGCTTGGCCCTGGGATCGCCGAGAGCGGAGTCCCGAGGGATGTAGCGGGCCGGGGTGGACCACCGATATAACCCTTGGCCCGGCCCTCGGCCCCGAAGCGCGCTCAGCCTTCGGGGACCTGTGAGGGGAGGGGCGTCCGGGAGGGCGTCTCTGGAGGCTGGCTGCAGACGTCGTTACGGAAAGAGTGTGTGTGTGGGAGGGGGCGATCAGGGATAGATCCATGTGGTTCCACACAAATACTTCTGCAAAGTATTCTCTACGTCGAGGAACTTATATTGTACGAATGAAGTAGATCTTGTTCGGCTGGAATGAACCTGATCGTTTTCTTAACAACAAACCCCAAACTCTTAAAAGCAATAACAACAAACTATAAAGGCCTCGGGTGGCTGAGATCTGGAGGGTAGGGTTGGAAGCCAAGCTAGGCAGAAGTGTCTGAAAGACTCCCGGTCTCTAGATAACCAGCAATAGCTGGAAGCCTGGCCCAAGTGGTACAGTGCCAGCCACGAGCGAGCCCGTCCGGAGAGCAGGAGACCCTCCACGCAAGCCATGGAACGGCCACACACAAAAGAAATAGATTCTAATGAGGTAAAGGGCGAAAGACAACTGGGATCACAGAGCCCACGGTCATCTTCTCACTTGGAACCAGGTATAAGAGGGCTTTCTCTCTCCCCCCACCTCCTCCCCCGGAGAAAGAGGGACCTCTATGAAACATAAGTTTTATGTTACAGAATAGTGTCACTAATTTAATCAATTCGACTTTTAATCTTTTTTTTAAGGGCAAACTCTGATGGCCGGAGAATTTTGATTTTTCTTTCCTTTTAGTGTCCACGACGACCTTTCAGATTTTTTCTGGAATATTTCAACATCCCTTCGAAATCATGTCCAAGGACAGGCTCCCGCCGGAAGGCCTTCCCCTGAGAGCACCCCCGACGGGCGAGGAGGCGCAGATCACCGACAGGACGTTCTTCCTGGACGCCTCCCGGCAGGGCCTGACGCGCATCCCCTCGGAGATCCTGGCGCTGGGGGAACTGGAGGAGATCCACTTGGAAGGCAACCAGATAGAGGAGATCCCCGCCGACATCCAGCGCCTCAAGAACGTCAGGGTCCTTTACCTGAACAACAACCAGGTGCGGAGCCTGTGTCCGGAGCTGGGGAGGCTGAGCAGCCTGGAGGGCCTGGACCTGAGCTCCAACCCGCTGCTCCCGGCCTCCCTGGGCGTGCTGTCCTGGTTGCGCGCCCTGCGCGAGCTGCGCCTCTACCACACCGACATCCGGGAGGTCCCTGTGCCCCTCTGCAAAGCCCTCCATCACCTCGAGCTCTTCGGGCTGTCGGGCAACCACTTGGAATCCCTGCCGAAGGAAATCGTGAACCAGACCAAGCTGAGGGAGATCTACCTGAAGCAAAACCAGTTCAAGGTCTTTCCCCCGGAGCTGTGTGCGCTCCACAACCTGGAGATCATCGACCTGGACGAGAACCAGCTCACGGCGCTCCCGGACGAGGTGGGCCACCTGCGGCGCCTGCACAAGCTCTACCTGGCCTACAACCACCTGTGCAGCCTGCCCGAGTCGCTGCACCTGTGCGGCCGCATGGCCGTGCTCGACCTGTCCCACAACCTCCTCCACTCCCTCCCGCACAACCTGGAGGAGCTGGTTGAGATGACCGAGGTGGGCTTGAGCGGGAACCGGCTGGAGAAGCTGCCCCGCCAGGTGTGCCGGTGGCCAGCGCTGCACCTGCTCTACGTGCATGGCGCGGGGCTGCGCTCGCTGCGCTGCTCCATCCGCAGGCTGACCAACCTCTGCTTCCTCGACCTCAGCCAGAACCACCTGGACCACCTGCCCGCACAGCTCTGCTCGCTCAGGAACCTGGAGATCCTGGCCCTGGACGACAACAACCTCCTCCAGGTACCGGCCCGCTTTCCTTGCGCAGGTCCTGGGGTTGATCTCAGTCCCTGAGCTTTGACACTCAGGGACGGCGCTCCACCACGTGAGCCACAGCTCCACTTCCAGCTTTTTGCTGTTGTTGTTGTTGCTGCTTAATTGGAGATAAGAGGTCATTGGACTTTCCTGCCTGGGCTGGCTCCCAACCTCGATCCTCAGATCTCAGCCTCCTGAGTAGCTAGGATTACAGGTGTGAGCCACAGGTACCCGGCTTGCTTGCTTTCTGTCTGTCTCTCTCTTTCTTTCTTTCTTTCTCCCCCCTCCTCCTCCCCCTCTTCCCCTTCCTCCTCCCCCTCTTCCCCTTCCTCCTCCTCTTTTCTTTCTTTCTCCCCCCCCTCCTCCTCTTTGTTTTAATGCTGGTCCTGAGGCTTGAACTCAGGCCCTGGGCCCTGGTCCTTAGCTTTTTTTTTGGGGGGGGGGTCTGGTCGTTGGGCCTAAACTCTGGGCCTGGGCACTGTCCCTCAGCTCTTCAGCTCAAGGCTAGCACTCTACCACTTGAGCCACAATGCCACTTCTGGCTTTTATTCTTTTTGTTTATGTGGTGCTGAGGAATCGAACCCAGGGCCTCAGGCATGCAAGGCAAGCGTTCTACCACTGAGCCACCTTCCCAGCCCGGTCCTTAGCTTTTTTGCTCAAGGCTGATGTTCTACCCTTGAGCCACAGCTCTACTTCTGGCTTTTTGGTGGTTAACTGAAGAGTCTCATGGACTTTGCTGCCCAGGTTGGTTTTGAACTGCTACTCACAGATCTCAGCCTCTTGAATAGCTGAGATTACAGGCGTGAGCTACCAGTGCCCAAGTTATTTCTTTTTTCCCCTAAACACCAATAGCGATCACAACTAGTAGCTAACATTTAGGTAAAACACGTGTGTGCCAGTCACAGGTATGTGTTTTACATTGGCTTTCTCATTCAATCCTTGCAGGACTCTGGTCCTCGATGAGGTTAATGGCAGACAGTGAGCTCAACATCAAATGTTTCCAAATCTGCACAGCCTGCAAACGAGAGCCAGGGGTCCTAGCAGGCTTAGGGCCTATCTAGATTCTTAATGGAGACAACCTCCACACAGGGCTTCAGTAACCAGGGGTTTTTCTGATCTATGTATTTTAGTCCTCAATGTTCCACTTAATAGAAACTGAACAACAAAAGCAGCTTTGTTCCTAGGCAGTGCATACGCCCCCATGTGGTCAGAGTCGCAAGATCAGATCGGTCCCTGCTGCACTGTTGAGACTCACAAAGAAGTGGAGCTGTGTCTCAAGTGGTAGTGCACCAGCCCTGAGTTCAAGCCTCAGTACTGGTACAAAGAAACAAAGAGCCAGGTGCTGGTGGCTCACATCTGTAATCCCAGCTACTCAAGAGATTTAAGAGTCATAGTTTGGATCCAGCCTGGGCAGACAAATCCATGAGACTTTTTATTTCCAAATAAGTAGGAAAAAAAGTTGAGGTGTGACGCAAGAAGTCGAGCAAGTGAACAAAAAAAAAAAAAACTTAAAAGTGCAAGGCCCTGAATACAAACCCTACTACTGGTAAACAAAAGAACAAATAATGCATAACAGTGAAATCAGATTGGCAATGAGATAATGAAGGACCTCCAGATTGCAGACCTGCAAATGTACATACTACACATGCGAACACGCACACTGCTCAGCAGCAGAGCTCAGTTGGTCTACTTCTTTTTTTTTTTTTTTGGGGCCGGGCGTGGGGCCTGAACTCTGGGCCTGGGCGCTGTCCCTCAGTTCTTCAGCTCAAGGCTAGTGCTCTACCACTTGAACCACAATACCACTTCCGGCTTTTGTCTTTTTGCTTATGTGGTGCTGAGGAATCGAACCCAGGGCCTCAGGCATGCAAGGCAAGCGCTCTACCACTGAGCCACCTTCCCAGGCCCTCAGTTGGTCTACTTCTGATGTAGCACTTCAGCTCAAACCCCACAGCCCAATGTCTTTGCTGATTGTTAAAAGCAGTCTTACCCGAACCCTCTCTGTTTGGAATGCTTCTAGTTACCTCCTGAGTTGGGCTTGCTTTCAAAACTGAAGATACTTGGACTCACAGGAAATGAGTTTGTCTCCTTTCCAGAGGAAGTGTTTTCTCTCGTGTCTCTAGAGAAATTATACATCGGGCAAGACCAGGGAACCAAGTTCACTTATTTGCCAGAACAGGTTGGAAAACTGCAGGTAAGCCTCTGTAATAAACAGAAAAGAAGCACCCTGAAGTTGGCTTGTACTAAGAGAACAGGGGTCCACATTCTATTTTCTACTTCATTCAGTGATTTGAATATGTTGAGGTTTTTTGCTGGCACTGAACCCCTTTTAATGATGAAGAGGCCATGTAGTACTTCTTTTTTTACCCGTGTGTGTGTGGGGGGGGGGTGGGTGTGCTAGTTCTGAGATTCAAACTTAGGCCCTGGGCACTGGCCTTGAGTTTTTGTGCTCATGTGGTGCCTGGCATGTATCTTTCTTTTTGTAGACATGGAGTCATGCCTCTTCCCATTTCATTTCCAGTTTTCTAAGTAACTCCTTGACAATGGTACTGTTTTGAGTTAAGGTGTTATACAACTGACATGGCTGAGAGTCAGAGTGACGCCTACCATGTGTAGTGATGAGGAATCTTGTTGCACTAAGTTTATATTGGTGATGGGTCCATGTTACTGTGTCAAGCCACAAAGTAATCTTATGAACAGCAGCTTTATTAGCCTGCCTGCCTCTCCCCTACCTCTCTGTCTGCTAGTACTGAGGCTTGGACTCAGGGCCAGACCACTGTTCCTTAGCTTCTTTGTTTAAGTCTGGAACTCTACTACTTGAGCCATACCTCCACATCCGGCTTTTTGCTGATTAATTGGAGATAAAAGTCTCACAGACTTTTTCTCCCAGGACTGGCTTTGAACCACAATCCTCAGATCTCAGTCTCCTGAGTAGCTAGGATTAAGGTTATGAGCCACTGGCACCCACAAGCAGGTCTTCATGTATGCTGCTTTGTTTTTCTTCTTGAAAGCTCTGAGGATTGAACTTAGGGCCTACAACTTGCTAGACAGGTGCTCTAACTACTTGAGCCACTGCCTCAGCTATTTTGGCTTTGGTTATAATTCATATAGTCCAGACTGGTCAGGAAAAAAAATAACAGGCTTCCCATGTAGCTGACAGGCACATACTTTTGATTTACAGCTTTTTATTGCTTGGGCTAGGGCCTCTCAAACTTCTTGATCAGGCTGGCCTCAAATCTGATCTCAGCACCCTGAATAACTGGGATTACAGGCATGAGCCACCATGCCCAACTGATTTATGCATTATTTAATGGTTGCATTTTTCATGTGTCTGTTAATAATGCACTTAATAATAATAGATAATAACTCTTTTTTTTTTGGTCGTTCATGGTACTTGAACTCAGGGTCTAGGTACTATTCCTGAGATTTTCTGCTCAAGGCTAGCACTCTACCACTTGAGCCGCAGTGCCACTTCTGGCTTTTTCTGTTTATGTGGTACTGAGGAATTGAAGCCAGTGCTTCATGCATGGTAGGCAAACATTCTACCACGAAGCCAATTTCCAAGCCCTAAATAACAACTCGATGATGGCTACTACATAATTCCCAATCTTGGAACTAAACACTGGCAGGGACAACACAGGTAATGCTGCTCACCATGACTTAGAAATTCCATTTGGATTTCTCCATTCCTTACCCTCTGTTCATAGATTTTTTTTTGTTTGTAATCTTGCTCTTTGAACATGTCATACACAGGGCAAAACACAAATGTTAAATTTTTGCTCAGTAAAGTTGAAAAGTAGTTGATTCCATAGTCTGCATGTTATGGTCATGTCCTCTTAGCCAATGTTGGTTTGATCATTGCAGCAATTGTAATTTGGAAGTAACTTCTAGAGATACTCTGATACTGAAAGGGACAAATGACAAATACACTAAAATTATCCAAACTATTTCTCCATAAAGTTCCAGTAAAACAAAGTTCCCATGCTCTCTTTTCCTGCACAAAAGAAACTAAAGTCTAAATGGTTTTACTAAAAAAGATTTTTTTGATGTTAGCTTGTGTGTGTGTGTGTGTGTGTGTGTGTGTGTGTGTGCCTGTTTGTGTTTGTGCATGCTTGTGCATATGCACATGCATGTGAATACCATGGCTTGAACTCAAGTCCTAGGCACTGTCCTTTTGAGTTTTTACTCAGGGCTAGTGCTGTACCATGTAAGCTACACCTCCATTTCTGTTTTTTTCTTCTGGTTACTTGGAGATAAAAGTCTCAGATTTCCCTGCCTGGACTGACTTTGAACCATGATCTTCAGATCTCAGCCTCTTGAGTAGTTAGGGCTATTATAGGCTTGATGTTGGGCATTTAAATATGTTTTTTCCTATATCTCAATAGATGATTTCCCCCTTGAGAGTACATGGATTCTCACTTTGATTTGAGTTGTGAGTGAAGATAAGGCTCACTGTGCCATACTTGTGTTGTTTCAGAGTCTTAAAGAGCTGCACATAGAGAACAATTGCCTCGAGTACCTTCCCATATCTTTGGGGTCATTGCCTCATCTAGAAGTTCTTGACTGCCGGCACAATTTGCTTAAACAGATCCCAGATAGCCTTTGCCAAGCACAAGGTGAGGAAACTTAGTATATCTACGGCTTTATGGAATTTGAGGGCAGCAATTTGAGGGATGCAATGAATGGCTTCCCTCTTTTCTGAAAGACCAGGACCTAGGTTTGGAGAGGCTGAGCCCTAGAGGGAGGCCAGGTGTCTCCCTAACCATCTTGTAAAGGCCAGTTGTAATCTGAATGAAAAAGAGAATAAGGTCATAATTGCTAAGAAACTCAGCATACATCTCTACTTGTATTATGTCCATCCCCAGCAATGGATTGTTGTATGCATACTGTTCGCTAGTATTTGGACTTGGAGTTCAGAAGGAAATTTTCATCCAGCTTATTAAGTCACTGGACTAACAGGAAAAGTATTGACTCAAGAAGGTAAAAATTAGCAAAGGGACTTTTGGAACTATATGACTGACTTAGAAAAATCACATATGATCTCTATGTAACCACACAAACCTTTTCCAATAGGTTAAGTCCTTCCTTCCTTCCTTCCTTCCTTCCTTCCTTCCTTCCTTCCTTCCTTCCTTCCTTCCTTTTTTCCTTCTTCCTTGAAACCATGTTGCTGGGCTGACATGATACAGCTGAGCCATGCCTCTAACCTTGTTTTTCTTTTCATTTTTAGAACAGGGTCTCACTTCCTGCCCAGCTTTCAAGCTCCCCACCTGTGCTTCTGTCGGCCCACTTTAGGTTTCCTGTCATGATTGGGATCAGAGGTGCTTGCCTTAGCACCACTGAGGCAAAATCTTGAGTGTTCTGCCTAGGCTGGCCTGGCACCACGATCCTACTGATCTCACCCTCCCTTGTATAACGCATACATGCCGCTGCATCCAGCTATGCATTAGGAAATGGTCTCATGAACTTTTATGTTCGCACTGGCCTCAGACACTAAATCATATTCTCTTAACCTCTTACATAGCTAGGTTTGTAGGCATGAGCTTACTGGATGTTGGCTTTTTTTTGGGGGGGCGAGGGGGGTAGTTCTGAGAATTGAATTCAACTTGTTAGGCAAAACACTCTACCACTTGAGCCATGCCCCCAGTTCTTTTGCTTTTAGTTTAGTTTTTTTTTTTTTGAGGTAAGGTCTCACAGTAATTTGTCTAGGATGTACTTGAACATTGATCCTCCTGCTTTACCTCCCAACTAACTGGGTTTATAGGAATGCACCACTATGCCCAGTCCCTAAATCATTCTTTATTTGCACATCTTTCCACCTACTCATGAATCCATTTATCTGCTTACATTAGTTATACAGAGAAAAATTTCACTGATACTGTGTTCCTAAGATAAATTCACCATTAAAAAAACCCAAAATAACTCTGTCCAGATTTGAAAGAGCTGCTGCTAGAGGACAACTTGCTCACAGAGATTCCAGAAAACTTAGATCAACTAGTGAATCTTCAGGTTCTGACCCTGATGGACAACCCCATGGAAGACCCACCGCAGGATGTTTGTGCCGGAGGCATCCAGAGCATCTGGAAGTACCTGAAGGAGAAGAAAGCCAAGAAACTAAGGGCAATAAGGGTAAAAGCAGCACAGGTCCTTGTGAACGTGTTCACAATTGCTTTGGGAAAAGGCCCTCATATCCACCAAAGGATCTGTGGGTCTGTGTTTATATGCATGTACATGTCTTTTGATTTTGTGCCAGTCCTGGAGCTTGAGGGTCTGGGTGCTGTCCCTTAGCTGTTTAGTTTTTGTGCTTCACTCAACACTAGTGCTTTACCACTTGTGCCAGGTCTACTTTCAGCTGTTTTGGTGGTTAATTGGAGACAGACTTTCCTGCCTGGGCAGGATTCAGACCAGGATCTTCAGAGATCAGCTTCCTGAGTAGCTAGGATTACAGGCATGAGCCATGCCATCCAGCTTACACATGTCCTTCCCCCTTCCCCCCCCCCCATGTCCTTCTTGACATGAAAATCTCATTCACTTTTTGTTTTTGTCTCCAAGGTTAAGAGACTAATTTTACATTTCGGCCCTATGTTATTGTCGTTATGTTTCCTCCCCTTTTTTAATCAGAAAAGAAGCCTACAAAAGGGCAGGGGGTATAGGTCATGTGGGAAGTGGAAGGCTTTATGTAGCTGGAACAGTGTTAGCAAGGAAGGGTTAAGAGATCAAGGAGGACCCTACCCTGGTTGCACACTGAGTAGCTAATTCTAGCTCCTTGGGAGGCTGGGATCAGAGGATGGAGGTTGGAAGCCAGCCTGGGCAGGAAAGTCCCTGAAATTCTTATCTCCAATTAACCATCAAAAAACTGGAAATGGAGCACTAGACTTGAGCAAAAAAAAGCTCAAGGTAAACAACTAGGCTCTGAGTTCAAGCCCCAGGACTGGTATACTCACAAAATAAAAAGAGATCTAAGAGGTCAAGGGAACAGGAGAATCACAGAGGGCACTGGAGCCAGGGTTAAGTTTTTTATTTTTATTTTTTTTAATTGTGAAGATACTGTACAGGGGGATTACAATTACACGAGCAAGGTAATGAATACATTCCTTATCAAGCATTGTTGCCTCTTCCTTTGTTTCCTCTTCCCATCTCTGCCCTCCCAGTCCCCCTCCCTCTTCTTCCCCCCCCCATAATAAAGCTTTTATTCTGTTTTTGTTTTTGTTTTTCCAATCCTGGGGCTTGAACTCTGGGCCTGGGTGCTGTCTCTGAGCTGCTTTTTGCTCCAGGCAATCACTCTACCACTTGAACCATAGTGCCACTTCTGGCTTTTTTGAGTAGTTTAATGGAGAAAAGAGTCTTACTGAGTTTTCTGCCCGGGCTGTCTTCAAACCGCAATCCTCAGATCTCAACCTCCTGAGTAGCTAGGATAACAGTCATGAGTCACCAGCACCCAGCCTTTTTTTTTTTTTTTAATTCTTTTAGTCAAAGTTTTATTCTGGAAGAAATAGGGAGCTACTGGGAGCTTCTTAGAAGTGTCTGCTTTTGGAGGAAGGGCAGGGCTGTTCCTGTGTTGGTGGACGGGAGAGGAGGAGGCGAAGAATAAGTGTGAAGTGGCTTTTGAAGGACCTGAGCACCCTTACCATCAGGAAAAGCAGGACACATGCTCTCTGATGTTCCTCTTTGCTCTCACTACGCAGTGCCCTTCTTCATCGCTCGCTCACCATATTCCAGGCACACACTCCTGTATTTGTTGTTTGTCCCAACTGGTTGTGAATTCCACAGTCAGGGATGTGAGCATTCCATTGCTATTTTCCAAATGTCTACAACTACCTGGCTTACACAGGATTAAGTGTCTTGGTTTTTGTTTTGTTTTGTTTTCCTTTTTGTTTTCTGCTTGAAAGAGTGACAGCCTGGCTGAGAAAGATAGAAAATCAAATCAAGCTTGGAAGTCTAGTCATAGCCTATTCTCCATGTCACTAAGACCACAGACCAGAACAGGGAGATTTCACAGCCTCCAGATTATCATCATCTTTGTCCATTTTTGGTTCCCAACCACAGGAGATCTGAGGCTGAGTGAATCAAGAGAATAAGGATTGACTTTGAGTTCTGGTCTATGAGATTAGGAAGAGGAAGGACATAGTAATGGCATCTGTTGAGACTGTCCTAATATTGCAAGAGTGCTTGTACAGAAGAGAGATTAAATACCAGAGACAGCCTTGTTTGAAATGATTGTCTCTTGTAGTAATAAATCCAGCTTCACTGAGAGCAAGAACTCACTCCCAAGAGGGCCATTAAGCTCTTGCAACCCAAGCTCCTCTTAAAGGTCCCACCTCTTCTCAATTCGATTACATCTGGAATCAAACTTCAGCCTGAGGTTTCAGAAAGGCCAGGCCATATGCAGACCTTAACAATAATGATTCAAAGGGATACTAAGCTTGTATTGATCTTGTTTGCAGATTCAAGCGTGGTGGCGTGGGGTCATGGTGATTAGAGGCCTAGGGAAATTTGAAGACCTAGTAAAAGGACGAAAGAAAGGAAAGTCCTCTCCAAAAGATAAAAAAGATAAAAAAGCAGCAGCTGCCGCCGCCGCAGCAGAAGCAGCAAAGAAACCTGGAAAAGGGAAGCCCGGAAAGGGAAATAAGAAATAATACCGTAAATCAATGAGTTAAGGGTGTTAACCCGAATGGATGTTGAAGCCACAATGTGAAGCGTTCAATGCCAGCCACACACACAATTATCTGTCAATTTATAGCTACTTGTAATAATAAAAGATTCTTCTTTTTACTTAAAGGTGTATGCAAAGATACCTGGGAATTGCTTCAAAATAATGTGGGAAGAAAAAGGTGATAAAGTTTCAAATGAAACCAGAGAACCAGATAATAGGGATTTAGGGGTTCATTACACTATTCTGTCTACAAAAATTTACCAGGCGCTGGTGGATCACACTTAAAATCCTAGCTACTCAAAAGGCTGAGATCTAAGGATTACAGTTAAAGGCAGCCCAAGCAGGAGAGTCTATGAAATTCTTATCTTCCAATTAACCACCAAGAGACCAGAAGTGGAGCTGAGGCTCAAATGGTAGAACACCATACTTGACTAAAAAAGGCAAGAAACAGGCCCTTAGTCCAAGCCACAGAACTGGCACATGGAAAAATAAGGAAGGAAGGAAGGAAAGAAGGAAGGAAGGGCTGGGCGCTGGTGGCTCATGCCTGTAATCCTAGCTACTCAGGAGGCTGAGATCTGAGGATCGCGGTTCAAAGCCAACCCGGGCAGGAGAGACCGTGAGACTCCTATCTCCAATAAACCACCAGAAAACCGAAGTGGCGCTGTAGCTCAAGTGGTAGAGCGCTCGCCTT